TAAATCTTTGACAAATGTTTGAGGGTAAAGCACACCTTTGAAAGCCCCAACAGCTATAGCCATGCATCTACTTTAAAGCTGAGCAGGGAAACAGTCAGCACACTTATTCAGATTAAACATAAAACCAGATTTGGCAGAATTGTATTAGATGAAAAAAGCAAAACATCTCAAATGACAAATCCCATGATGTAACATGCTTCATTTTTCTTCTGACAGCCAGTCCATCCCACTACCAGGCAGTGGTCAGCAGTTTGTGAGACCCCCTCCAATCAGCTCTAGTCAAATCATTCTAACAATCCTTTGGGTCCTTTTGAGCCCGGACACCCACAGATCCTCATATTTCCCCCGAGCTGATGCGAACCCCGGCCCAATAGGTTTTAGGTTCTAAATGTTTAGTGGGGAGTTCACAGCTTTAGGCAGAAATCCACAGACAGGATGTCCAGCTGGTCGAAAGGCTACACGTGTGTGTGTGTGTGTGTTCTGTCCAGTTCCACAGTGGGGCCCCTCAGGTTTCTCCTGTGGCATACAGAGGAGGCTCCACACCCTTCTCCATGCCACTGATCCCACCCTCCGAAAGGTCACCAGAAGCAGTGAGTGTACCTCATCATCACTGACTAGTACTGGCAGATGCGTGTCAAAATTAGACCCGTCCTCCTCCATTTTTCAAACAACCACCCTAGCAAAAAGGCCCGTTTCGCCTCTCCCAAAGGAACCACAGAGACTCTAGGGATGGAAACACTGCCATCTCTCATTCCTGCTGGACGGTCTTAGCATTATGCTAACACCAGGGAGGAATACAAACAGCCTGTGGGTTGTCCGGCAGGAACCTGGAGGAAGGCCCCTGGTGGTTAAGGTAAAGGTCAGAGAAAATGCGGTGACCATCTGCTCCTTCTGTGTGAAGCCGGCATGAGCGGCCTTTGGACCGAGCGTCATCCATAGTCTGCCCCCCCTTTTGGTGCTTCGGACGGGCTTTCAGATCCGGCTTTATCCGACTTTCTCGCCTCTCTTTCTGACTCTTTTGCGCATCCTTAGGCGCGTGTTTCCCCGTAGTAATTTTCATTCGATAACGTCCAAACACCCGCTGGAGGACCAGCATCTTTGTCGCCTCAGGATGCCCGTGTTTGTGCGCGCGTGAGGCCGTTCGCGTGTGTTTGCTCAGCGGCACGTGACAAATGAAGACGGGGGACATTTCTCTCCGAAAACGCAGCGCTCCGGCTCGCAAACTTCGCCATATGGAGCCCATTGCACCCCCAAATGAGCATTCTGCACCCACCACACAAACGCAACGTAACCGAGGAGACACAAAACAGAGGCGGTGTGACTGCACTATAAATGACACCTCACAGAAGTCACTGAACGGGCCAGTTAACCTTTTCTGTGTGTGAGTTTAAATCAGTTTCTCCGATTTGTTTGCCTGAGCATCGTGTTTTATTCTGAAGGATGATGAACATCATTTTTATCCGGGTTTATATGTTGAGCTGCCGGGTTTTTTGTACCTAATCAACTCACACAATGACACACACGGTGTACATAGTTAACATAGAAAACACCCCCCCTCTGTAAATTCTAATTAAATTATTGACATACTCACTATCACTTATTTTAGACCTATATACTGTATATACATATAGTTACTTATGTATATATTTAGTTATATTCTGTGTGGAATTTTGTATATATATACAGGGGTTGGACAATGAAACTGAAACACCTCTCATTTTAGTATGGGAGGTTTCATGGCTAAATTTGACCAGCCTGGTGGCCAATCTTCATTAATTGCACATTGAACCAATAAGAGCAGACTGTGAAGGTCCAATTATCAGGGTAAGAGCACAGTTTTGCTCAAAATATTGCAAAGCACACAACATTATGGGTGACATACAAGAGTTCAAAACAGGACCAATTGTTGGTGCGCGTCTTGCTGGCGCATCTGTGACCAAGACAGAAAGTCTTTGTGATGTATCAAGAGCCACGGTATCCAGGGTAATGTCAGCATACCACCAAGAAGGATGAACCACATCCAACATGATTAACTGTGGATGCAAGAGGAAGCTGTCTGAAAGGGATGTTCGGGTGCTAACCCAGATTGTATCCAAAAAACATAAAACCACGGCTGCCCAAATCACAGCAGAATTAAATGTGCGCCTCAACTCTCCTGTTTCCACCAAAACTGTCCGTCGGGAGCTCCTCAGGGTCAATATACACGGCCGAGCTGCTATAGCCAAACTTTTGGTCACTCGTGCCAATGCCAAACGTCGGTTTCAATGGTGCAAGGAGCGCAAATCTTGGGATGTGGACAATATGAAACATGTATTGTTCTCTGATGAGTCCACCTTTACTGTTTTCCCCACATCCGGGAGAGTTACGGTGTGGAGAAGCCCCAAAGAAGTGTACCACCCAGACTGTTGCATGCCCAGAGTGAAGCATGGGGGTGGATCAGTGATGGTTTGGGCTGCCATATCATGGCATTCCCCATACTTGTGCTAGATGGGCACGTCACTGCCAAGTACTACTGAACCATTCTGGAGGACCATGTGCATCCAATGGTTCAAACACTGTTTCCTGAAGGAGGTGCCGTGTATCAGGATGACAATGCACCAATACACACAGCAAGACTGGTGAAAGATTGGTTTGATGAACATGAAAGTGATGTTGAACATCTCCCATGGCCTGCACAGTCACCAGATCTCAATATTATTGAGCCACTTTGGGGTGTTTTGGAGGAGCGAGTCTGGAAACATTTTCCTCCTCCAGCATCACGTCGTGACCTGGCCACTATCCTGCAAGAAGAATGGCTTAAAATCCCTCTGACCACTGTGCAGGACTTGTATATGTCATTCCCAAGACGAATTGACGCTGTATTGGCCGCAAAAGGAGGCCCTACACCATACTAATAAAGTATTGTGGTCCAAAACCAGGTGTTTCAGTTTCATTGTCCAACCCCTGTATATATATATATGTATAGACATGTATATATGTATATGCTTTTGTTTTATTTCTGGAGTAAGTAATAAAAATAATTTCCATCTGGGATTATTAAAGTATTTCTGATTCAGATTGTGATGTATTTTCCATAAATACATGTGTCCTTTCAAACTGCATCAGCTTTTAGGAACTAAGGGCGTTATATCTTTTTGTTGCATAATGTTGTGTGTGTGTGTTTGTGACCAGACAGATGCTGTAGGCTTGTGTTTCCAGTTTCCCCGTCACAAGTGGGATGAAGATGTGTACTTTGGACCAGACCACACAGAGGCACATGCTACATTTGAGGGTCTGCTGGAGTGCTGTGGTGTTGTTATGAACCAAACCATAAGTACTGTAATACCGCTCACCTCCATTTTCATCTTCACATTATCTCTACCGTTCAGTATTTAAAAAAGTGAGACCTTTTCAAATGTGCATTTCAAGACTTGAAAATTGTTTGTTGAGAAAGGTAAGCAGACATGACTAACTGATTGTTTTCATCTGTGCATTTGAGATTACTGGTTGGTGGAAAAAATTAAAAATAGAACTATTAAATTAGATAGATAGATAGATAGATAGATAGATAGATAGATAGATAGATAGATAGATAGATAGATAGATAGATAGATAGATAGATAGATAGATAGATAGATAGATACTTTATTGATCCCCAAGGGGAAATTCAAGATGGAGTAATCTCCTCTTTTTCTGTTTTTATGAAGTAGGTGTGACTACTTTCACCACCAACAAGCAACCACACCACTGGTACGGAGCCTGCCTACACTCGAAAGCTCTCCAATCAGCGTTTTCTCAGCGAACGGAGGGAAGGGGAGAGGAGAGGCTTCATTTATCTCTCTGACAGAAACTGGCGCAGCTCCCAAAAGCCTCACTCGCGTTGACCCCAATCTAAATGGATTCCTGAAAACGTGCCGCTCTCATGTAGGCTAATGGAACGTGATGAACCGCCGGGCCGCTGAGTGGCTGCCACAGCACGATAAAGAGACAAATCACATGTCGAGGATGTTGAAATCATTGAAATCAAGCTTGAAAAAAGCCTTTTATCAGGTTCCTGCTCCTCAAACAGGGCCTCCATATACTATTAGTGCCCCAGCGTCTCAGGCTTTTGAGGGATTTCTGTTTCAACAGGAAGGGGTAAAAAGATGAAGTAACTTGATTTAGAGTGCCCACAATAACAAAACAGGGATCAGAATCTGGTTCTTCACCAAGACCATATTACAAAACACTCTCCATCCATCCATCCATTATCAATAACGCTTATTCCCTAATGGGGTCGTTGGGGGAACTGGAGCCTATCCCAGTGGTCAATGGGCGAGAGGTGGGGTCACCCTGGACAGTCCGCCAGTCCATCGCAGGGTGACACAGAGACACACAAGGACCAACAACCACACGCACTCACATTCACTCCTAAGGGCAATTTGGAATGTCCAATCAACCTAACATGCAGGTTTTTGGGCTGTGGGAGGAAGCTGGAGAACCTGGAGAGAACCCACGCAGACACAGGGAGAACATGCATGTTCCCCTTGGTACTCGATCCCAGAAAAACAATGTCCAGTTGAAGAGAAAAGACTCAGTTCCACCATTGGTGCGTCTTTGGATGCATCAGAGCTTAAAGTTTGAAGCAGAACATCATCCCTGACTCATCCTGCATCGGCTGTTAAACTGATATCCTGCCATTTGACTTCACAGGGTTTAAAGGCAGGATTAAATCGGCGGAACATTTAGATTAAAAAAAGGAGTGCGTAGTGGCCTTTGGCACAGGCTGAGGAGCGTCTTCCGCTCTCCAACCTGCCGGGGAGCCCTCTCTTTGTGGTATTACGGTAGGGGGCGTGTCCGCTCGGAGCGTGGCCGGGCCGGGGCTGGGCGTGTTTTAGCCATGTTGTCCTTTTTTTTTCTGCACGGCACGCCACGGCTCGGCACGGCACGGCCCGAAGCGCCACCGGGCGGAGCGTCGCTGGCTGGAACTGGCTGGCTGGAGCACCGGGCAGGCAGGCAGGCGGTGCGGCACGGCACGGCACGGCACGGCTGTGCGTCAGGCGGCACGGCACGGCACGGCTCGGCGCAGAACGGAGTCCTCGGCTGATCCTCCATCCCGCGCGTCGGAGGCTGAGTCAGCGCGCCGCAGGAGCCGCGGGGACCCCGCCCGACAGCGGCCAGCATCCCCCCCACAGACGGCAGGTAAGATGGAGGGGGCCGTCTGGACCTCCCCCCGGTCCAGGAGGTCCAGTCCAGGAGGTCCAGGAGGTCCAGTCCTCCTTTAGACAGCCCGCTTTCATCCAAGTTCATTTGGGCACCTTTTGAGTTTGCGTCAGCAACGCTCTTTTCTTTCAATTCAGCCAGCTTACTGATGGATAAAGTCGCTTCAAAATCCTTAATTGCACCATTTAATTTATTAATTTGCTGGATATTTTGTTGGAATTAAAGCTTTCTTCTAAGTTTTGCTTCTGATGAGCGGGTTCGTGGAATCATTTGTCTCAAGCAGCTGATTCAGTGCCTGAAACAGAGGACGTTTGGTCTATTGCTCCTCTGTGGGGTTTTATATTTTAAAGGAGACATTTAGAGATAAATGCCTTTAATAGCAGAAACTGATTTTTCCTCGGGTGAACAGAAACAACTCAAATATATGAGCTTTAAAGAGCTATTCATATTGCTGGTCATTTTCTTACCTTTTTGGGGGTGGGTGGGGGGGGGGGTGTATTTTGGTTCCCATCACAGCCGGCTGTGGACTGTCTTTGTTTCTTTGCAAATGCCCCAAAAACCCATCTTGTTTGCCCATGTGTTTGCAGATGTCAGGGTTTTCCTTTTTTTATGAGTTTGCTATGACTGTAATCCAGCCTGAATGTTTTTGTTTTGTGTACTCTTTTCCTTTACAGCCTTGTTGTGTAATAGGCTACTAGTCCCAGAGAAGAAAAAACACAAAGTTCCCCCATGGGGAGCTCCCTCTGGCAGATAATGGAACCCCTGTTTCCCACTGCTTAATGAACTGCTGCTCTCTGTTATCTCAGCAGCCGTAAAAAAACCATCCTGCTAATAAGTGCGTCGGAGGTGCGGGGGTGTGTTGGATTGTGGAACATGTGAAGTCTGCACTACACTGACCACCAGAGCATTGTTACTAAAAGCATTTGAGAGCCGTTGTTTGTGTGAGGAAGTGAGTACCACCACTGTTTGGCCTCAAATTCAGACGTAGCTCCTAATAGCATAAACACAAACTGAACCTAATATGATATTTCATCCATCCATCCACTATCGTAACCGCTTATTCCCTAATGGGGGAACCGGAGCCTGTCCCAGTGGTCAATGGGCGAGAGGCGGGGCACACCGTGGACGGTCCCCAGTGCACACAGAGACACACAAGGACCAACAACCAAGCACACTCACACTAAGGGCAGTTTGGAGTTTCCAATCAACCTAACATGCAGTTTTTTTGGACGGTGGGAGGAAGCCGGAGAACCCGGAGAGAACCCACAGACACAGGAGAACATGTAGACTCCACCCAGAAAGTTCCTGGTTCCCCCGGGGACTCCAACCCTAGAACCCAGAACCCAGAACGATGGTGTGGTGCTAATATAATCTTTTACTTCTCAAATTGTAGTGTTCCCCTGGTTTATGTCTGTTTTTGTGTAACTTTTAAACAGGAGGTTGCACCCCCACAACATGGCTGTCCAGACAGAATTGTGTCAATATTAATGTGAACACACACACACACACACACACACACACACACACTCATATTTCTCTATTCAGACACGGCCGCTTTGCTAATGGATTAGCCGTTTTAATTGCCCCTGTGTATAATTTATTACAATAAAGCTTCACACACACACACACACAAATACACGCTAAGGGCTGACGTGACTACACAAAGGCAATATCTAATACACACAGGGGAGTCTCCAGTGTGTGCTCAAGGATATTTGCATGCATGCTCTTACATTCTGCGTGCCCTTCCTCCTCCTTTGTGTGTGTGTCTGTGCGTGTCTGTGTGTGTGTGTGTGTGTGTGTGTGTGTGTGGAGGTATGCACGGCTCATGAATATTCAAATCCAGAGGTCTCCGAATGTTTTGTGTGTATATGACTGTGGCGTATCAGTTACTTTGGAGAGAAGGGGAGCGGGGATACAGCGAGGACACGGAGGGATGAGGAGGGAAGGAAAACGAGGAGCAGATAGCGGGATGTCAGAGAGGAGGAAGAGGAGTGGAAGGGGAGAGGCGGGAGGTGTTTTTCCTGCTGTAATTTGCTTTGACAGCTGCTGTGTTGGCTCTGCCTCCGAACACGTCTCAGTGCTGTGAGGACAGAGGCGGGAGGAAGACCTGCCGTCTGACACGGCTCGGCTGATGATGCTACAGTACAGGGTCCACTTCCTTCTCAGAGAGGATGTAAACTGCTCTCCACGCGGCTTCAGATTTCTAAAATCGAGCTTTTGGTTTCGGAGGAATCGGACAGATTGAAGCATTTCTGTTTGCCGTGCTTCCCTTTCAGTCCCAGCCGGGGGCCTTTGTGGGAGTTCATACCAGGACAGGTGCATGTCCCTCCCATGTATGCTTGGATTTAAATCAGAAACAGTCTATCTGTCCTTGTTTGCGGTTTACATCCACATCTGCAATTGCCTCATTATGGAGGGTTGTTAATCATTTCAGATGTGGGGCTTTTCCACTTGTGCTCACTCAGCCCCGGCACAGTTATGCACAGTTTAAGTGTTTTTTTATTTTACAAGTGCAACACAGAAGTCCTAAAGCAGAGATGTGATTGATGGGGCCCGGCTTGAATTACGGAGGGAGACAGGGTAGCAATCCAATCAGAACTGACACTTAAGGTGACTAATCGCACACACTCACCAGCCACTTTATCAGCTACACCTTGGAAGCAAAAGGTTGGAGGCCTTTCTCCTTCAGAATTGCCTCAGAACTCTAGCAAAGGTTTGAAGACATCCCTAAGAGATTAATAATATCATTAAGAGGGAATGAAATTTGACCCCATTAGGGAATACAATATGGATGGATGGATGAATGGCTCAAATATTCCCATTAGAATACACTGTAATTCGTATAATTCGTTCCACAGCCCCAAAGGCTACGATAACTCCTTAATAGATACTCCAGATAATTACACATAGCAGTAAAACAAATGCATTATAAAAAAGAGATGTAAAAAGAAATAAATTATTAAGAAATAATCAATAAAAAGGGTTTTTTATTGGCACTTTACCTTAGAGACTAGTGAACGGAGGTAGAGGTGGAGACTGAGATACAGAACTATCCGGAACTTACTCTGACTTTCTCCACGTGGACTTTAAACTAACTTAGCTTATTTATTTGTATTTAATTTTTCTATTTTATACATATTTTTCTATGACTTCGACATATGTTGGAAATTTACTTTGGGTGTCGAGTCGAATATTTGATCAAATTTGACTTTGTATGTTGGAACTTTCGTATGTTTAGGCAATCTTAAGTAGAGGTTCTACTGTAACTGTAAAGCAAGGCAAATTTATCTGTATGGCACATTTAGTGTACAAGACAATTCACTTTGTTTTATGCTTTACTTAAAAAGTGAGAGTTTAAAATCAGAAATTAAGAATAAGTTAAACAAAATAAAACAAATACAAATCGTTGACTAAAGATATTTAAAATGACGAGTGCAGATTAAATACATTCAGTCGTCACATCACAGTTAAACAGAACCGTCTTCAGCCTGGATTTAAACATTGTCAAAGTTGAGGCTTGTCTCATCTCTTCAGGAAGATCGATTCAGATTTTAAGGAGCATTAAACTGAAACGCTGCCTCTCCTTGTTTGGTTCTGACCAGCAGGAGACCAGAACCTGACTGTAAACTGTAAAGCAACATTGGTGCATACAGTCATCCCAGCCTAATGCTGTAGAATTGTAAAAGTTGGCTGTGGCGCTTTCACAGATTCTGGATCGACGTACAGTTTTATAAACGGCTCCTGTGGTTTGACAAAGGGCATAGGCACTACGCAGCCTGAAGACTCACAACCTTCTGGTTAATGCTCAGAGTTACGCACTACCTGACAGACGACGTCACCAACTGTGGAGGAGGAGGTTATCAGAGAAGAGGCACAATGAGTCTGAGTCTGAACAGCGAGGGGGGGGACTTAGCAGCCTTTTTTACTTGGGTGTACCACCATGGACGCTTAGTAAGAAAACCTGTGGCTTTGTACTTTAAAATAGAGACACGCTTCTCTAAAGCTTGTTCCTGCTCACCTCAAGACATTTGGGGCTCATTATCATAATCACCCACCTGTCAGTTGAACTTTTTGCTTAATCTTACATTAAACTGGTACTCAGCCTGTCATGGTCCCCAAAGCGACCGCAAAGTGAAGCTCTTTGGGTAGCCAGTGTTTTATAAAAGAATGAACGTCTGCTTCTTACACAGTCGACTTGTTACACGGTCACTAAATGAATGACCGTCGTAAAGCATCACGTCCACTCGTGTCTCAGTGATTCTTTAGCTGATGATATTGAGTATTTTCTAAAACCTTACACCAGGTTAAAGTTCTGCTTGGGCTGTCGCAGCTTCGTTGGAGGGCTAGAGTTTGTTGTTTTGCATATCCGGATCCGTGAATGATAGGAACCAGATAGACAGAAGAGACCCTGGGTAGAGATACGCATCCATAACATACCCAGCAAGGAAAGGAAATTGTACATTATATTCCAATAAACTCTCTTCTGATATACATGCCTGCCACAGTGCTTATGATCTATCAGACAATACATGCTGTAATAGACTTTGTACCCAGTAAAAACATGTTTCCTTGGCTTATAAAAGATATAGTATAACAGTTTTCTAGTCAAATGAAGAACATTGGATTACACAAACTTTATACAGATGGGAATATTTGAAATAGGACATGGGAAAAAAATTAAACATCAGAGTCTCTGTAGAGGGTAGATAAATGGCTAGAACAGCTTCAGTCTTCACCATAAGTTTCACGTTAAACCCTGCAAACACAATTCTGACAAAGAGAGGGAAACTCTCCCCTAGAGGAGGAAACCAGGTCCCCTGGCTTTACTCTGGTGGGTGGGAATCGATAGCTGGGGAACGGGGAACCTCTGTGGGCTGAGGAACACCTTCCCTGGTGTCTTGTAAGAAGACACAGAAAAAGAAACTGACGTATTGGACATGCATGCTTAAATCTGGGATGTCCAATGGGCAGCTGGTTGGAGCAACATCCAACTATAATTACCTGCAAAACCAATGGATGGATCAATTTAGCCAGTTGCCTTGTTCTAAAAGCAGACTGCAGACCTGAGTAAATTTCTGTATTTTTGATGGGACACTCCAAATAAAGTGAATGCACAATTTTAGATGAGGCTTGAAGTCTTGAATAGTTTTTTTGAATAGGAAAAATGGTTTCCACATCCAAAACATCAATCCTCAGTCATACTTGCACTAAGTGGATAGAGGTCAGTGCAGTTTCCTAATAGGAATTGCTGTATAAGGATAAGCATGTGTAAGTCAGTGTGTGTGTGTGTGTGTGTGCTCGAAGGATGACTGAGAGCTAAAGTGGGGGTGGAGGGGGGGGGCAGTTTCACATTGATTGAATACTGTAAAGCATGATGAAATATTCATTCGGTTTCAGACCCATCATTGCCTTCTCAGCTGCTGGCTGCTGTGGCAGTGTTATGATGGGGGTATGCTGCATTGGTCAGGTCTATGTTCAACAGTATTGGAATAGAATTTAATAGAATAAAGTGTATTTTATTGTCCTTACAGGGTGTATATTAAAACTTGAGAGTTTTCCTCTTCCTCTGTAGAAACAGAACATATACAAAAAGTTAAAAGATACTATCGACAGTTTGAAAAAATATGAAAAAAGTGAAAAAAGAAAGGAGCAGTGGTAAAGCATTACCTGAATAAGTGTCTGCCTCACATATTGTCCATCTAGTTTGTGAGTGGGGCCAGCAGCACCTTCATGTAGAAGGTAGGTTCTGTTTCTCCTGAAGTCCATGATGACTTCATTTGCTTTCGTGGTGTTTGGTGACGGGTTGTTGCGTAAATACCTGGACATTAAATTCTGGACATCGTCTGTGTAGGCTGCCTCGTCTCCACTGGAGGTTAGTCCAACCACAGTGGTGTCGTAGCCCTGTGATTAAACTGTTCTCAATGTCCAGGTGGATGAAAGATGGGGGCCAAGTCTTTCAGGTCTGGGATCTGTTTGACATAAAGTATTTGATCCAGGCAGGTGTGAGAGCGAAGAAGAGTTGAGTTTGGTGATCAGACTGTCGGCGATCATTGCGTTGAACGCCACAAAGAACATCCTGCCATTGCTCTGCTGATGTTCCAGGGGGCTCAGCGCTATCTCGACGGCGTATGCGGTGGATCTTTTTGCCTCGTATGCAAACTGGTGGGCGTCAAGGGTGGGGGGAGTTGGTCTTTGATGTTTCCGGAAAGCAGTCTTTTAGCACACTTCACAAGAACAGGTGTTAAGGGAACACCATGGAAATCATCGGGGCTTGCTGTTAGTGGTTTCGTTGGTACGGGGACGATGGTGGTAGTTTACAGGTACAGGTATCCCTCACATCGTGCATTTTTACAGTGAAACGGGGTGACGGAGTGGTGACAAAGAAGCAGCGAGGCTCCTTTGCCAGCAGTTCGCTGTGCTCTCCTGGTGTTGCATCACAGCTTCTGAAGTTGATGAGGGGGTTGTAGACCCTGCCACACCTCCAGGGGTCTGTCGCTGGCTAGGTGACACTGCGATCCGTTCGTATAGCCTGCTTTGGCTTTTTAAATCCCTCTTTACAGGTCAGGGGGCCCTGCTGTTCATTAATGGTAATCAGCAGGAGAAAAAGCTCCATGTTATCATCCGGTAAGACGTAAAGAACAGTGACCATCACCGCGATTAACGTCAATGTCAGGGGGAAAGCGCTTCTCTGTAGTCATGTGGCTGGTGCACCGACCTTTATGCATGCAGTGCCCCTTTCCTCTGCTTTTTAGAGCAGCCAGCTCATCTGGTATCTTTCTGTTTAGCCAGGTGTCCTTCATGGTGAGGACACAGCAATCTCAAAGCCAGTTATTTTCTTACGTTGTGGGGTTGGTGAGTTACAGGCTCGGGTAGAGGTGGCTTGTGTGGGTGGTTCTTTGGCCTTGGCTCCACTCCTCCACCCCCCCCCCCCCCCCTTCTGCTACCCCTCCCCCCTCCATCCCCAGCCTGAGAACGATCCACAGGGAGTTTGGCAGTCTCTGTAGTTCATTTCCGATGTCACGGTTATGGTAAAAGTCTCTGACAGTAAATGTGGAAATTAAGACGGAGAGCACAAAAAAATAAAAATAAAATTCAGCAAATGCTAATTATGTCGTTATCATTACGTGTCCAAAGAACCAGGTGAGCTGACCACCTGGATATAGTGATGAGGTTATTCCATCATTGCATTTTTTCCCCCCTTGCTGGCACAGCATATTCCAAGATGGCAGAGCCAGGATTCATCCGCCCGAGTGGTGAAAGAGTGGTTGAGGGAGCATGAGGCATTATTTCCACACATACATTAGGTGCCCATGAGTCCAGACCTCAACCCCACACTGAGAATCCTTGGGGTGTGCTGGAGAAGGCTTTCCACAGTGGCTGGACTCTCGCGTCATCAATACAGGATCAGGGCGGGAAACGAATGCGACACAGGATGGAAATAAATCTTTGACTTTGCGGCTTATCAAACAAAGCCACATTTATTAAAGCTAAAGACTTTTTTTTCCGGTTAGAACTCTCTTTTCGGGTTTATGTAGCTAGTTGAAATGGCTCTGATGTAGCTACAAATGTTTGTGGCAGCTTGTGGGTTTGCACTTATCTGCTACAAGACCAGAAGTGGAGAGCTTTTTTTCCGCGTACACCCATCTTGTGTGAGGGACGGGAGTGCAAGTGTGTGTTTATCCCCGTTGTTATCAGTGACACATAGTTTGGAGCAGACAGACTGACGCTCTCCCAAGTGTTTGCCTTCAGGCACTGCGGGAAAGCATGTAAGTGTGTTTGTGCTGTGTGTGTGTGTGTGTGTTTGTGTGTGTGTGTGTGTGCGCATAGAGAGAGACAGAGAGAGATAGAGAGACAGAGCGAGAGAGAGAGTAAAGGGGAGAAAGAAAGGACAAGACACTGTAAGCATTTGAAATGCTTAAGTCAGCCCCCACCTCTCAACCTTAGTTTTTTCTTTAGTTTATGGACTCTTCCTTCTCAAAGTTCTCACATCCTATTTCAGTGTCATCCTTTCATAAACACAATGAAAGTTTAACATCCAGTATTAAGGTGTTTTTATCTTTGTGGGTGTACAAAATTGCGCATTTTGATTTACCCCCACATGGATTTAGCAGAAATTGATATCCCTCTCTTATCCATCTTCTTAATATGAACAGCTTAGAAAAAGGAGAAACAATTTGTTTTTTCATTTCTAACCTAATCCAGGTGCCACCTTGTTTCAGCAGGAGGTCGACACAAACATTGCAGGATAGAAAGCAACCAAATGTCTCCTGACATGGGTTTGCATAACAAATGGCACACAAGACAGGCTGCCTGTGGTACCAAATGGCAACACCTGCCTTTGGTAGACATCAGGCTGGCTCTCTCTTTGCAGTATTCTCCAAACAGACCTCAGCAGTGACTGGTCCTCAAGTAGGAGCTTCAAAGTTCTGCGCTATTGCATTATTTAGAAATGTGTAAGGCAAGAAGGCCTAGATAAGAAGACCCCGATAATTCAAACTTTGTAAGTCAGTTTTATGGCCTAATTTGCTGTGTTTACACATTCAAACATTGAGAATCCAGTCAAACCCCTCTGTTTTTTTTGTTTTTTTTGTCATGTATTGGGGCAGCCTGAGCTCATGATCATAGAAATGTGTTGCGGGTATTCTATTTAATTGTATAATTTGAGCAGTGAACTTTTATCTGACAATTTCTTCCGATAATTGTTTCTACTTGTACAGTCCTGTTCCAGTTCTACATACAGTATCCTTTACACTCATTAAACTTCAGCTTACACATGCGTTACATTTATTAAACTCATTCACACAAGAAAAGAAAAAAGCCAACAAAACAAACAATGCTTCCCAGCCCTCCCGTCCACTTACCCTGGGTGTAAAGTGTAGGCCATCACCATCAATAATGTACAGTTCTGTTGTGCTTTTCTCTCTTCTATGAATAATATATGTACATATATCAAATTCTGCCATGTCTTTTTCCCTTTATCTCATTGTCCAGTTTTAGCCTGAAAGGAAGATGCGAGAATCTACCTGAAGAGCGAATTACAAGGGGGATGAAGAAATGTCCAGATGAATGTCAGAGGCATCGTGATATTGAAGAAAGAAAAAAGACTTTGAAAAATTTAAAGGAGGATACACACAAAGACTTCTGACCGGAGGACGGGACTGGATGTAAACCTTGGAGAGTGAAGCGGGGGGGACTGGCTGAGGAAAGGGAGAGCCGTCTGGATGGTCACCACAAGTGTGACCGGCAGAGCAACCTCCTTCCAAGATGGCCACCAACTTCAACGACGTGGTCAAGCAGGGCTACGTGCGCATGCGCAGCCGCAAGCTCGGGGTAAATTTGTGTGAATGTTTCACCACATCCAAATGATCGAGTCAGGCCCCCATCTGACTGTGTGTGTGTCTGTCTGTCTGTGTCTGTGTCTGTGTCTGTGTCTGTGCCTGTGTGTGTGTCTGTCTGTCTGTCTGTGTCTGTGTCTGTGCCTGTGTGTGTGTGTGTGTGTGTGTCTGTCTGTCTGTCT